CTTTAACTGTAGTTTGCTAAAGTAGTTTTAGTTCTTCCTTATTAATCTGGTTTGCTAAATAATGAACTGAAGCTGAGTAATAGTAACTCTAGAGACCAGTGGATTCGATATTTATTACTTGAGCCACTATACTGCAGTCCCTTCCATTGGTTACACTTGGCCATTGTTAGGAGTTGTGTAATAGCGAGTCAACCACTTAATTGAAACGCGGCGTTTTGACACTCACACGGGCAGCCTGGAAATCCACACGGCCGTGTGGCTTGGCCGTGTGGTCGGGAAATTCTAGGTTTTTAACCCAATTTCAAGCCAAAGGAGAGGGAATCGATTTTCTGGAGCAAAAACAGAGCCCTAGAGAGAGAAAGTGCGAAGAACACCCCCTAAGAGTGGTTTTGGAGCTGGGTTTCATCAAGCAAGTTTAGAAATAATCCTTGGAGTGAAGATCATCATCCCGGAGCAGATTCTTCCCATCTTGATGAGTATGACTTCTTTGTTTGCTGTTTTCCTCTCTCTCTCTCTATAGAGTAGAACCCTCTCTCACTTGGGTATGAAGAACCCTAGTTCTATGTGTTAGGGATCATTGTTGTAACGATGTTTGGATTGTGATATTGTTGGATTATAATCGATTGAAGTGTGTTGATTGAGTCAATTGAAGCCTGATCATCTTTTATTGATTTCTGCTGCAACCTGAGATAGATAGAATCTGATTAGGTTGTCAGAGCTTCTTCAATCGGTAGTAGTGAATCGATTATACGAGAGTTAGTCGATTCACGGCTTTGTACTGGAATTCAGTTCCAGTAGTGGAGTTCTGTGTTCATAGCCTCAGCTTTCTATCCCGGTGAAGACTAGTCGACTGCCGGGTAGTTTGACTGTGAGGGCTTGGTCAGCTTAAGAGATTCCAAGCTACTGTCGGATCTTCCGCAGTATAATCAACAGTAAAGCAACCAAAAGTAATTACAACTGTGACCTAACTAATGAGCTTGGGGGACTCATTCCCGAGTGACTCTTCCCTTGCTTTAGAAACCCGAACTATTTCCTGCTTTCTTACTACTTTTAGTTAAAACCACAATCACTCGACTTATTTTGCTAGATAATAAATAATCACAGAGTAGGCAGTAGATCTAGGCCCCGGGTTGACAAATAGAGCTTGCCACTTACTGCACGGACTGCGATTACACTTGGTCGCAGTTTGGTGTTATGTTTTAGCGTGTCACAGTACCAGTTGATGATATCAGCTGATAGTGGCTTATCATAGTCAATGGTTTACAACTAAGTTCTATTCATTGTAGAGGTGTCATTAACTTTTCTGAATAGTAGTTCAACCCTACATAATGTTTGTGAGTGTTTGTTATCACTTCATTTTTAGTGTAAAGTTTGCATAAATTGTAATGATGACGAAATGATTAACACATCTTAGTGATATGATGATGATATGACTATCTTAGTGATAAGATGATGATATGTTTGTCATATATTAGTGATATGATGATGATGATGATGGTAAGTGATATGATGACGAAGTAATGCTAGTAAACTAAATTGAATGAATTACTTACATGTCACATGGTGACTTAACATAATCCAAGATGTTTTCAACCACTTCATACTCATTGATTATCAGTCGTGTTGTTATTAGCACTGGTGGAGAAGGTTGCCCACCTGGATCTTGAGATAGTTGTTTCTCTGACAGGATTACCTCTTTGAATAAGAGGAATTGAGGTAGGATACGAAGTCCTCTATGGCATATGCAATTTCTGCATCATATTCATATCTACATTTTCCCATATCAGCTTGTCTGACTACTGGTTTTGACCTCCCTGTCATTTTCACTTGTTTGACTGCTTCCTTTTACCTCATTGCACCTACTTACAATAATCTTGAATCTTTTTGGTCTCTTTGGTTCTTTTGAGGCTTTGACGTTTGAACAGGTGATGATTCTTGTGTACTAGTTACTCCAAGATCAAATGATGTCATGTCATGCTGTTGAGGAGTGTCATTCTTCCCTTTCTTCCTATTATCACTGTTATCGTCTCCTTTTCTGGTTCATTGTCTTTGTTGGGGTTGCTGTCTTTTGGTTTCTCTTGTTCTGTTGTTGTCTGGTTGTCTATGGTGGTTTTTCTATGTTGTCGATATTGTCCTTTGTTACTGTTTGCTCTTTGTTACTGTTTGCTTCTTTGTTGCTCTTTTTTAATTTCCCACCTTGGTTTTATTTTCACTAGTGTCCTCAACACAAGCCTTACTATTGTTGTCTTGGTTGTTTATACCAGCTTCCTTCCTAGTTTCGATATCACCTTCATATGAAGTTATGGTATCATCCTCTTTGTTGATGTCAGAGTTCACATTCTCGGCATCATCGAGAGAGAATGAAATGTTCAGTATCATTGTTCTTTGTCTAACCATCAATGTTTGCAGTTTCAAATTTCTTCTCTGGGACTTTTGTCCTTTGCTTGCTAGGGTGGTGGTCGAGCAGCTCCTTCATTTGCTTTGAGCTTCTTTACTTTGGTCAGCAGTTCCTTCATTTGCATATTATATATTTTCTCGCTTTGAAGCTTTGAGAGTCTCAATTGCTTGTTTTGCTTATATCAAATAGTTTAAAAGATTTAATACAATTCATACCATCATATTATCGCTATGGTGCTAATTTTATAACACGATTATATCAATCATATCATAATCATATTAGTATATGGTAAGACTCCATCCACAATCGTTTAGATTAAAGGTTACATACATTAGTGTCAAGTTATGATGGTCATATCATAGTGAAATGTTGATGATACAATTATGATTTGATGGTCTTATGTTCGTGATATGTTGTTGATATGATTTTAGAAAAACTGGAAAATAACTAAAAGCTGAATTGCTAACTTATAATGGTGAAGTGAATATTTGCAGCAAGCCATTGTTTCTTAGATGACATCCCTCTTGTTGATACTCACACCAAGTGTACTCCATGAATTCATGTTTCTTGTCCTCTTTAAGAAAGTGTATTATTGTAATTCAGCAAAAATACTTGTACTGATGCAGAACAATCCTCCTGTTACAAGTATCTAGAACATATATAGCCATGTTGTTGTGTTTTTTTCTTGGTTGATCTTGTCTTCAGTATCATTTAGCTTTCTTTTTGACAAACATTTTTCTTGCAGCTGTAATCCAAGTGCATGGAGCCATTTTTCTGACTCTTTTGTTGTGTAAGGCTTCTTCATAATCACTTTTTTCTTCCCCATTGGAATGTCATAGATTTTATGGATGTCTTCTGGTGTAATTTCTAGCTCAGTGTCGTTAGGTAATGTTATTGTCTTTGTGCTCCTCTTGTACTTGCTCATGATGTACTTTAGTGTCGACCTATTGTTTCTAGTCTTATTGAAACTAGTAATCCCTTGAAAGATTATTGTTTTTAGCTCTGCTACCATCTCATGAGGCATCTTAGTAACAACATCATATATTATTTCAAGGCTGGCTCTTGTACGAATAAGATGTTGTGCTTTGATAATTTGTTATGCATTATGAGACAAATAGTGTTACACAAAATAGTGACCATATCATATCATGATCATATCCATGTCATATTAAGATCATATAACGTCATATCATACCACTATCAAGTTCATATCAAGATCGAATTAGTCTATATTAAGCTCATGTCAAGTTTATATCAAGGTCATATAAGTTTTATAGTTTCATTTCTAGATGTCAGTTATACATCTTGACTCTTCAGTGGTGGGTCAGACATGGTCAATGTAGGGTCAAGGACGGGTCGGGGTAATTTTCAGCCCTACTCCGGCCCAAATCCCCCTTCAGCAGGGCCTCTCCAAGGGAGTCAACTTCATCGTGGAGAGCTTCAAACCATAGACGGATTAGAGAGAACATGGAGGCGATCAACCTGAAACTTGGCGATCAAGATATCAATGAAATTGACGGACTGGACGAGTGGAAGATCGTGAGAGGGTAGTTCCTTGTGGATGACACAACCAGCCCATACAAGTCCCTCGAAGAGCTGATGGTGCTTACGGAGGCCTTCACACAGTTGTGTTGAAGTCAAGTCATTACGTCTATTTCACGACTAAAGTCCTCTCCTTTGTCAAAATTTGTACACAAAACTACACATACTGTCTTTGTTACTACACATTTGATCATAGTGAAATTGGAACGTATAGCATTCCCTTCTTCCCGCCAAAAAAAAAAAAACTTATCTTTCTTTTGCCTCCAGAGACGGAATGAACTTTTAAATCATGTTTCACAGCTTTTCGCACTTCTTGCACTTGAGGTTGTAGGTAAAGCAAAATTTGCGTGCTCGGGAAGCCACCTGCAACAGGTCATTCTTCTTCAAAACAACGCATCGAGTACAAAGCGTTCTTGTGAGAAGTGCGTTTGAAGTGGTACAACTAAGAAGTTACTGGTTAAGAGAGCAGAATGAGGAGGCGAATTAGCGCAAAGAACGATAAGCTGAAGCTAATGTCGGATTCATGAAAACACAAAGCTGCTACAGCCTACAAGCCCATCTAGTCGGAGAAAGTTCATTACTGGAGGGGAGCAAGAGTTCCAATAAACAACAGAATCAACACTACTTCGCAATTCACAGGCTGGGCAAAGGAGTAGCATTGTCAATGCCCAAGCTACATCTCTACAAGTAATTCAATTTTGAGCTGGCTGCCGATCGTTTTCATTGGACACTGGTGAAATTTCTTGCTCGATACACGGGAAGGATCAATTGCCAAGGAGAGGAGTTCAGACACAGGAGGAAAATCCCTACATACTGACTACCAACATGAGAAGAATAAGTGATCCCAAATTATGTAACGAAAGAACAGTGTTGAAGTATTAATATTATAGAGAGCCAAGTAGGTGGGGATCAGTTGTTTTCCTTTCAACTGGAGTGGTCTGCTGAGGAATAAGCTCCTTTTCTGGGTGCTCATCTCAGGACAGTAACATTACCTGTAAAAGATAACCGTGGAGCCAATCTAATGTTTGAGGGAAGGTTGTGGCAGATATGTTAGCGACAGTCAGACCCTGTCAAGAGAGGAAATGAAGAAAATGTTAAAAGGTCAAACAGATGGTCTTCAACGGAGACTCGTAGACCTGACTATCAACATACCTGTGAAGTGAAAGAGCAGAGATGAGATAGTCCTGGAGAGTTTTTAAATTGGCAATGAGCCTTTCTTTGTCCTGAAAATATGACAAGGTGTGGAAACTTTAGAGAAAGAATTCACTGCCAAACTACTCGCATGACGGACTAACAGTGAGACTTGCACTGATAACTTGAAATTGCCAAAACAAAGATGCACAAACCAAAGCTGAAATCCTTTTAAGAAGTTTCAGTAACTATTAGTTCACAATATGATGATACATCTATTATCTACATAACCCAAGAGTTTTTCTGTTCTCCATACAGTGACTGGGCGTATTTCAGGTAAAAACTCATGTACACTATACTTGTAACCCTTTTCTATGGTTGGAGAAATGAGAACCAAGGATCCTTACTACCTTGACTTGGTATTTATCTCTAGGTATACGAGCAGAGATCCATTCCTCAAGTAATGCCTGGACAAGAAAGGGAACAGACTGAGAAAATAGACAGAGTATGTATAAAACCAAAAGCAGACTACAAAGGGTGAGAAGAAAGGTAAAAACCTTATGATCAAATTCAGCCATCTTCAGCACTATGGGTATAAGTATTGGATCTCCACCAGATTTTGCTCTCTTAATAGGAGAGTTTTTCCCTTCTCTTGCAACTTTCGTAGGACCAACTGTCTCAACTGAAATGGCAGCAGCACCATAGACATAGTTCAAATTTATCTATAAACCTTATCTTGAGAAGTGGGACGGGAGAGGGAATCAGACTCGCCTTCATTCTCATGAATACTTTGTGAACCTTCAGCAATTTGCCTGCGGCCCAAGTTTTTGTCGCCAGATTTCTCTTCTGCTGCAACTGTGTTCTCGTGCGAGCCATTCGTATCGTTGGCATGGATGTCACTAACACTAGGACTAATGTCTTCCATTTTTCCTGAGGGATCAATCCCTAACGTTGATTTTTCCACAGAGAATGGAGTTGTTTCTCCAATCTTATCAGGCACGCAAGCTGGTGACTTGTTGTCTTCATCCATTAGATAAATACTTGGGTCAAGATGTATACCCTGTGATTATTTGCATCAAATGTGTGTCCATTACACTAACCACTTTAAAGTAATCATCTTGCAAGTGATCCTGGATATCTAAAAAAATGCAGAAGCTACATAAAAAAGACCACTCACCTTGTCATCATCTTGTATCGATTAATGTACTCTTCCCATATCCTCGTCTCTCCATAAGCTACAAACCAGAGAAGTTTATCCGAATTAAGAGAGTTGAAACTTGGAAGGTGCTTCAGTTCTTGGCATTTACTCCATAAATGGTGAAGAGAAAGATTGTATAAGACACTGATAAGTCAACGAGATATCAGAACTACCTTAAATAGGTTAGCCTCCATTATCCCAGAAATCATGGAGTAGTTGGGGAGTCAGAAATGCAAAGGAATAAGGAAGGGCAGGAACACATACACATCAAGGAGGCTGTTATCAACCAGCAACTTTTTGAGTTCAAGAGCAATCTTTACGGCTACATGATTCGGTATCTGAAGCAGAACCCCACAACTCAGGTTAAAACTGCACCTTCCTTCACATGATCATGATCCAATTATACGGTAAAAAAGCTCAAACTCAAGACTATAGCTCAAAAAGGCAACTGAAGAAACAAGCAAAACTTTGCCTATCGATCGTCCATCAGAAGAAAAAGATAACGAAGAGTAGTACAATGTTGTGACCTTGGTAACAGTTAACATTCGGCTGAGCAAGAATCTGGAAAGGACGTAATAACAAACCTTCACCTGAAAGAGAGTAAAAAACCAACTTCCGCAATTAAGCGCCGCCATAAGGGAAACAAGACAAGAGAAACTGAAAGTAACGGCACGGTGTGAGAAACCTTGACAAAATCGTATTTGGAAGCGGCATTGCGAGAGGAGAATTTGACGTCGTGGGAAAGAGGACTGCCCGAGTGATGACGATCGCGATCCTCTTCACCACCATAGCTGTGACTGCTACTGCTTGGAGGCTCAATCATCACTTCCTTCCCTTTCCCCATCTTCCACTCCGCCACCACACGCTATTCTTCCTTTCTCCGCTGCGCCCTGCTCCGGTGAAAGCACTCAAGAATCACGATCACACCGAGCTTGCTTATTTTCACTCCAAATCTGAGAAATTCAATCTTTAATTTTTTTTTTCTTCTCTCCACCTGCTGCTGCTCTCAGATGTGTGTGCGCCTTGCTTTTATGTTTTCGCCTCCGCTATGCTATCCTACTTATGTTTGCAACGGGAGCTTGTGGGTAAATTCAGAGCGGTCACCAGACGAAAATTACACTGAAAAATCTCTCTTACGACAACCCTTTTCGACCCCAATGATAAAGTTACAAACTTTTGAGTTTCACGCCAAATCTCTCTTCGTAATCTCTCATATAATTTGTGGGAATGAGTCGACAAAGGGGATGCCATTTGATCCTTGATGTGGACTGAAAGTGGGTTTCATAACAGATCAAATTCGTAGGATACTTCGGCAGCAGAGATCTCAGTAATAGCACCTCAGTAGCAAGTGGACGATCAAAAGGAAATTTTGTAACTTCATTGTCGCAAGTGAACTTGAACAGTTATTGCTGATTGCTACATATATGGACAGTATGATCAATGAGGAAAGTACACAAGCTGAGGCAGCCTATCTGAGAGTCTTTCTGTTGTCATGTGGACCACTTTACAAAAGTAAAAAGGAAGCCTACACAGTCTACCCAGTTATGGAAGGAGGCTACATTCCTACACTAATCTGTAGTCGATACATGTAAAGGAAGCCTAAAACTGTCAAGTAGACACTTCTAAAATTTTGCATCCATCAACTTGCTCTTGAGAAGGCGAGCACTGAGGCAGTTTGATGATTCAAAGTTACAACAGCCAACTCAGTAATGGGTTGGTTGAGACACTGAGTGAGATGTTTTGCACAGTGTTCATGATTTCCTTAACAACTTCTGGCCCTTCTCTCCAATGCCGGTCCCCATCAGACCTACTGCAAGGATTGATTTGGAATCTGGTCTCCATCTAAGCTCTTTGAGATCACAGAATAAGTTTGAAAGCTCTGGAGAGATCTCGCTGTCGTTTATTTTCCTACATGATTCTATCCTCAAATGTTCAATCTCATTCCAGGTTAAAAGTACAGACTCGAGGGCTTCTGTTGTCACCAAGGAGCATCCTTCTAGGTAGAGTAACTTTACCCTCCTGCAATAGAGAGGCAGTTCATGCATTATTAAACTACAAGGCAAGTTAAGCATGAAAACCAATTCAACCTCGACAGTATAATTTTATCGCATTGCTTTAAGTCCTCATTCATCAACGGACTGCGGTATGTACAATAGTTCCAAGTAGGACTCTCCTATGATTGATCATCTGGCATAAGCTAATGAACCATTGGGAGTTACCATATGCATTATCCATACCTAATATTCCATATCTATATACTCACTTGAGCCATTAAAACATGGGGACAAAGGGATTTCTAGTTTCAATGGTCACAGGGAGATGGTGCGTAGTTTGGAGAATATATACAGAACTGAATCAAGCAATTACCTGCAAGTGCTAGCCAAGCTGAACCCTTCATCATCCAAACCCCAGCAATCCTGGACAACAATTTCCCTCACAGTTTCACAAACCTTAAATAAAGCTCGAACTCCAATTTTGTCCCTTAAATGACATCTCTCCAAATGTAGTGTTTCAAGAGCAGAACAACGACCCAGATACTCATCTGGCCCCGGGACAGAATCTATTCTCTTACACGACAATAATCTCAAAGTCTTCAAATTTTCACAGAAATGAAGAGCAGCCAACCACCCATCATCCATCCTATGATCACACACTGTCAATTCTTCGAGCATCTGGCAGCAGTGCCCTATTGCCTTAATCCCATCAAAGCTACCCTCGCATCCAGTGAGATCAAGCTTCAGTAGTCTCTTGCACCCTTGCGCCAGAATAGTCAAACCAACATCTGAAACTATTGAACCATATAGCCCATACACGTTTCCTACAAGCTTCAATATCTGCAGATTGGAACAGACTGCAATCCCTAGCAGGACATTGTCATTGCAGCGGTGCAACTCCAGCTCCTGCAGCGTAGGACATTCTTCAGCCACGCTTATCAGTCCTACATCACTGGCACCAAGCACTGCAAGCCGGCGCAAATTAGGGCACCCATTAGCTAAAACTCTGAGTCCTCTATCTACAGTCTCAGCTGGCAACAAATTCTCCTCGCAAAGTCGCCAACTGGGTGAAAAGGCAGAAACTCCGGAGTCCAAATGCACGGAGATAAACCGATGATTCAGGTAAATACTGGAACCCACTGGGGTCACCACGCACCCATTGATCAAATCCACGTGGGTGAGATCAGGAAAGCTGGAAGTCAACCGACCCGATTCTAGGAACTCCCAATCGAGAATCCTGAGAGACCGAAAGAGTCGACCTTGAACATTGAGCCAGCGCTTGCAAACAAGGCGATTGGACTTCCTCTGGGAGTCGGGCAAGAAAGACAGGATCTTGAGGAGGGTTTCGTCGTTCAGGAGGCGGGTCCGGTCCATAATGTCGGCGGAAATGGAGATTAGGGTTTGGGAGTCGGTGAATGTCGGTGTAGTGGGTTCGGAAGGGACGGCAATGCTTGGAGTTCTTGGGGAAGCAGAGCCACCGGAAAGAGATGAGACTGGCACAGCTGAGACGGCATGTTTCAAAGATTGGGTGAAGGTGGTCTTGAGCCAGAGGTCTACCCCGTTCTCCTTCCTCTTCGTCGGAGTTATCGGTGCCTCCTCTTGTAAAGAAGACATCGCCGGTAGTTCGGTTTCAGGTTAATCGGCGGGGGATGTAGGTCCCTTTTTTCTCTCTCTTCTCGTCGCAGGTTGTGGGTTCAGCTCAGCCTCTAGTAACCACCAAAACTTACAATCCGCCGCATCTCATCGCCTCTGTTTTCATTTTTCTCTCCGCGAGCATCTTGTGTGCAATTAGGTATGCTCAACTGGGTCTGTGTGCTGTAGAAGACGGTGAAGTTGCGGCGGTTTCGTCTACGCTGATTGGGTCAGTTAGTTCTACGAGCAGTGTAGTTTTTCTAGGCAGAGCCGCCGAGATACTGTCCTCTTCCTCTAAGCTCGAGCTGCAATGGCAACCAGTCCACTATCAAAATCAATCCTGGGATGGATTATTAAATATCAAGTCAGTCACTAAATTATAGAGACTGACAGAACGATCACTAGATCAACTATTTTATCGTAATGGCCGCTCAGCTTTGACCCGGTAACAGGCTAGTCATTTCCTCTATTTCCGTTTTAGTCCACCATAAAAATATCTTTGAAAATGGTTATTTCTATCAAAAATATGTAACAGTTGGATGAATGTGATGATATTTCACTGTATCTATTCATCGACTGCGAAAGTGGTTATATTTGACAAACATACCAATTCACCCATCATCAGGGGCGGACCCATGGGTGTTTGGGTGTCCCCGAAAACCTCCAAATTTCAGGAAAACGATTATCCAACCTCCGGTGATAATTTACGTATTGACAAAAAAATTATAATTAATAGTCGCGGGCACCCCTAAATTTTAAAAAGTGATTATCCTACTCTCATCTTTTAGTTTGAGTATGAGAATATAAGTGAATGTTTGGGTAATTCAAACCTAGGACAATTTTAATAAACATAATTTTCATTAGGCTACAACTCATATGTTATTCGATTTTAAACACCGTGTAATAGTATAATGTCATTCTCTATCTCTAATTATTTTCAAAATCTAACAATTAAACAAATTTTAAGCTACCCTTAATTTGTATTGATTTATGGTTGCACGACAAGTGTTGAAAGAGTCTTTTCAGCTTTGGATTACATAAAAAACAAGTTTAGAAATCGAATATGTGATCAGTTCGTGAATGATTGTCTTATATGATATACAGGGACAAATTTTTTTGAACAGTGTAGACCCCAAGTGTGTTCTACAATCATTTTTTAATATGAAAACACATCGTGAATTTTTTCAAGTTGTATGACTGTATGAGTAAGGTATTTCTTATTTAAATATTTTTTATTTTTTTATTTTTTTAGAATTATTTGTATTTAATTTATTTTTTAAAAGAGGACACCCCTATGTAAAATTTCTGGGTCCGCCACTGACCATCATCATGCAAATGAACCACATTTAACAGAATTATGCAAATGAGCATTCAGAGCAAAGCACATTGTTCATCCTGAATGTCAATATAATATATAAGCATAGCTGCATAGAGCAAGCTTTACACTACTCTCACATCTCCACTATATATCGTGTATAGTTGTCTCTTTAATTGCATCTATCACATAACCAATATATTGTTCTCAAATTTCTTCAATCTTTGTTAAATTTGATTGCGGTAGAAGAAGGGGTTGAGGTTAATGTTTTTCCAAGGTACACTAGTTGTTACGAAAATGAAATTTTTTAAACTTCATTAACATACAAGAGAATTTGAATAGTTCATTGTTCGTTGCTAATGGATTTTTCCCCAGAGTACACTAGTTGTTAAAAAGATTCTCAAAATACAATAGTTGCACAAGAATTTCCCAATCTCAAATGTTTGGAACTTGATCACCTAAGTCTAAAGCGATCTAGGCATTATCACTTGATATGGACGCAATGAATTTATGATCGTTGAAAAATAAAGCGATCAACATGAAATGCTAATGTGGCAAGCGATCAAATGCAGAAAGCATTGCGGTAAAGCAATTGGTTGGGGTTCTCGGCGTGGAACGCGGATAATGGCATAGATCGTTGAGGTGGAGTATAATAGAGCCCTTAATCACTTTTAACGGAAGCAATATGTGTTGGCCGCTTTCAACTTTAGCTATTCCCGACCACTATAAATACAACACTCTCCCTCCTTCATTCACACCACCAAAACATTTCTTTCTTTCTCTCTTCCACCACTTAAGGAATTCGAAGTATACTTTGTGGTTGCGGCTAACCCCGACCTTCCACACCTAAAAATGTTTCCTTAAGTATGTGATACAACCCTCGCCCTCTAAAAATCCAGTCAAACCTCTGCCCGGCTTCCGCCAAAATTAGACGAGAGGCTCGTAAGGTACCTATCATCTTTCATCTTATGATTTATTGTTTAGTAAATTTGTCGTGTATTTAGTTTTTTTTTTTTATAACGAGAATTGTTTGCAGGACACCATAAGACTAATAATGTCTTAAAAGTTTACAAGTTTAACCATGATTGACTCATTGATTTTCTTGATTCTGGAAATTTTTGCCCATAATACTCCAAAGTAAGGAATTCATAGTATGCTCTATAGTTGTGACTAAACCAGACCGTCCACACCATAAATGTTTTTCTTTTATTTGAAAGTTAATATTTTCATGATTATGTTACAAATGAAATAATATTATTTTTCTTTATATTTAATGATAAATGGCGGCCGATGTACATTTTTCAAGATTGTATATCCAACCTAGGCCAAGGGATGCAAAGTATTTAACTAATCTCATGCGATTTGAAACAACAACCTGGTACGCATGCTTGACCGTGAAAGTATTATCTTTTAGTATTTTGAAACGTTTCTAATATTTGTCTATCATTGTAAAACTTACTTTGTGCATTTCTTCGTATGAATCACTTATTCCCTCGTCCATAAAGGGACCTCACGCTTGCCCAATGGCATGAACGAATCTTGCCCTATCTAGAAAGGGCGGGGGTTGAACATGGTATGATTCTTTGTGGAGATAGAGATTGACAAAGAGTTTTTGACGACAACAGAGATGTAGCGGCCCGAGACTAGGGCTGAAAAGGAGCCAAACTGCTCACGAGCGGGTCAAGGCTCAGTTCAATAAAGCTCATTGGTACTCGACTTGATTCTTAATGAACTAGCTCGTGAGTCGGCTCATTTGTTAATGATCTGAGCATGAGCCAATTCCTATGTTTGCAAGCTGGCTCGAATTGCTAGCTCGTTGAGCCTGACTCACGAGCTAACTTATTTGAAGCTCGTGAGCTAGCTCGATAGTGACTCATGAGCTAGGATCTTGATGGGAAATAGCACGATAATGTGTCTTAGGACTTAAGTCAATTTATAACTTATAAGTCAAATTGATTGTGTAGTTAGCAAAACAAATCATTTAGCTTTCATAACCTGTAAGTTTTTTTGTGAGAAAATGGGACACTAAAAGGGCACCTCTATTAGTTTAAAGGCAAAATACACTTGTATAGCCAAAACTTTCGCTTATGTGCCAATAATAGCCAAATTTGGAGAAATACCACTTATAGCCACTTCCGTCCAATTCTTTAACGGTGTTAGCGTTAAACCTGACTGGACAAACAAAAATGCTGACATGGCAAGCTCTTATTTCCGATTTAGTCTATAAATATCCACGTGGATAATAATTCATTTTAAAAAAATAAGAAGTAAAAACTGGAAAGCCCTCAACGTCTGTCTTATCTTCATCTTCCCAGTTCCCACCACCAACTCTCCGCCTTTTCTTCCCCTCCCCGTCTTCCCCACTGCTGCTACCGGAACTGGCTCTCGGACTCTCTGCGGTTGCAAGAGAAAATAATGACAGAGAGAAACAGAGATGACCAGGCCAAACATATGGCTCATCGAAGCTACAGTGCTGACGACGACGCAGTTCGGTGAGATCGGCATGCTGAAGAGGACGACGAAGTGGTCAGCTCGATCTCTCTCAGGCGAAGAAGTAGTGCGACGAGCTGATTCCCTTCTGAAGGATTACGTCAAGGTCGTGCAAGAAGAGGAGTGCTCCGACGAGGAAATAGGATGTGGTGGTGCGAAGAAAATCAAGAACTTGGTGTTAGCGGGATAGGATAGGATGGAAATTGAATTGGGGAATGGGAAGAGGTGGGAATTGGATTGGGGAATTGATGAAGAGGTGGAAAGAAGCGGTTGAATTGGGGAATTGGTGAAGAGGTGGAAAGAAGTGGAAGAATCGAAAATGGAATTGGGAATTTGACGAAGAGGTGGAAGACGAAGCAAAAGAATAAGAAGAAGCGGAAAAATTTACCATCCGTCGACGACAAGTTCGACTGCGGATTCTTCGGCCCCGGGATTTCCACCTCCTGGTACCTGGGAATCTAGTACCACGACGCCACGAGGCTGATTTGTTAATCTGGGTTGCGACCAGGGACCGACCATTGCTCGATCGGAGCGGCGTGCTGACTGTGGTCGGAGACGGGAACCTGGTGGTTTTCAATGGGAATGGGACGCGGATCTAGTCCAGCAACATGACGGCGAGGGTTGAGTCGACGATACCGTCGCGCTGCTCGTTTCTACTAGAAGCCTAATCTTGTCGCAAAACGATACCGTTGGGGACGTTCATAATTTTTTTTATTTATTTAAAATGTGACGTGGCAGTCCTATCACATGGTGAGTCTATGTGGAAATGATGTGTTGTCCAGGTGGCAGCCATATCAGCCTAACATCCATTTAACTGACGTAAAAATTGACGGTGTTAAAGTATTTGACAGAAATGGCTAAATTAGGCAAACAAGTTTAAAAAATGTGGCTATAAGTGGTATTTCTCCAAATTTGGCTATTATTGTCACAAACGTGAAAGTTTTGGCTATACAAGTGTATTTTGCCTAGTTTAAATAAACGGAAATGGGCAGTGCCCATGAACACCTTTGAGTAATTAAAACCTGGATCACAATTATCAAGAAAATGAACACTTTATACTAACTGAGTGGCCTTTGTTAGCCAGAAAATGAACACCTATATTTTCTCTGATTCTCAGTGGATGAGCTTATGAGCCTTTCGTGAAAGATTAAAATATATGTTGTTGTCTTGCTCCTCGGACGCCAGGAATTGGAAAGCTGTCATTGAGTCTGTATCAGGTAGAACCTTTCTATATCCAAGATCCCAAGCTATTTGAAGTCTTTGAAGAACTCCCCGAATTTTTGGCTTTCATGATGGTACACACTCCTTTGGTGGATGTAAAGGCTCTCATACATCTTCCTAGGTGGTCTCTCATAAGGCCTTTGGATGCTTCTTGCTAGTCTTGTTGTAGTATGTAGCCATCTGTATTGACGAGAACCCAATGCCACGAAGGAGGTTTCCACTGAAAATTAAAATACGTAGCTTTCCTTGGCTTGATTTGTCGTCAAGGATTAAAATACCGTATCGTACCGACGATTCGACCTGAAAAACCTCTTACCGGAAGCAAAATCGGTAGGCAGTATTTAGTGGTATAATACGGTTGAACCATGGTTAAACCACGGTTTTAGCATAAAATACCCTACCGTTGACTTTTCCGGTACAGTATTTCAATCCTTGTTCGTCATCCTGGTCCAACACTGAATACGGTGCACCAACGTGCCAACGTCCTCCTACTTTTGCTGGAAGATCCTCTCATTATGGCATTTCCAGAGATACCAAGCTACTACGCCAAAGAGAAAACCGGTGTTGACATCTCGGAGGTGAGTCGACATCCTACCTATAAAATTGAGGCCGAAAGTGAGGGTATTATAAACATACAAAGTTTCTTCCTTACCTTTTTCCTCGAGGCATTGTTGTATGATGTGTTGGTTCAACTCGGGCGCAAGATTGCAAAGGCTAACGTGTCACTGGTGTATAGTTTTCTCCTTTTCTGCTCGTAGTTTGTCATCAACCAATCATGGAAGGCAAGCACATGAAGTATATGATACGCTTGGGGTCACTCCATTTCTAGATTTACTTCCAGTCCATAGGTTCAAGATTGCATGTATTACTAACATAGTTTTCTTGCAAGCAATCATCAAATATTGAATAGGTAGAGCGAAGCTTGAACTTCCCATCAACTTCCAAGCCCTAAAGAGTGATGTCTTCCCCTGAATCCGCCATTGGGTGCTCTATTCCTACAATCAAAGCGATAAATTGTGAGGCAAGAGGCAAAATTGCTGACCAATTCCACGCACCTGAGCTAGAAACCATTTCTGCAACTGAGGCATCCAGATTCTCGTTGGATCTTGGGTTAACAAGGCGTTCTCTAAGAATCACACCGCCTGCAAGCCAACATTATTCCAAAACATTATACTGCAACCACATCTAACATCCAAATTCCCAATGGTATTTTGTTTAATCACGGGCAGCGCTGCAGAGAGACCCTTCTAGAGTCTCCAAATCTGATCTTTGCACAACAAAACCGCACCATTACCATTATGCTTGACATACTTGTCCTCCGAGATTATTGGTGGGAGTGATGTACATCAACTTGCTGATCCTGACATTGGGTTCATAATTAACTCATAACAATATCAATGTTGGGTTAAAACTCTTTAAGTTAAACTTGAAACCATTATAAAAAAAATAGTAGACCAATGAAAGTACACAACGCCATATTTGAAGCTTATAAGTGTTTCTTGAAGTGGACCTAGTTCACCTCCACGTGTGTAGGTGATTGCTAATTAACAAGGGATTGATGTATATTTGAATAGAGTTTCCCCATCCATCAACATCTGCTTTCTCATCCAAATCAGTCTCCTCCGTGTCATCTTCTTTCCCATCGATAGACTCCAAATTCTCAATCTTATGATCAGCCATGCCTTGCTCAAACGCTCTTTTATATTGGTATATGCAACTTCACATTTATTTGCCATTGTCTCACGTCCAATTCAAACGTCCAATTAAAATGAAAACGAAGCTGACCATTTCCTGGAAAACAAAACCTGAAAAAACCTTGTTTAGCTGAGATTTTTGGTGAGTTCTGAAACTGAGTTCTAAAAAGAAAACCTGTTTAGTTGCTTCATTCTGTTTTCTGATTCTTGATTATCATACAACCCTAGCCATGATTATAATTTTTAATTCGAATTAAATAGTTTTTAAACTACAAATAAACACAATACAAGTACAACATCTTATATTAATTAAGTACTAGTACAACATAAAAATTCAAATAAGTCCAGCTTGAAAGTCATCCCACAACTTGTTTGCTATTCCATCTCGTCGTGCATCCATCGCTCAAGTTTGAGTTGAACTACTGCTAGTAAGCTACAAAGTGTTGAGTTTCACTTAACCATTGATAAAAGAACGAACGCAGATAGACCAAAATGAACTGGAAAGTGAAAACTATGGGACCATAGCCTTTCAATCTATAAGAAAAATGTGGCTTGATTCTATCATGAGTTCATGTAGGTCATCAGATGTATCCTTTATATGCCTCTCATGCACTGTAATTTTTATCGGATGTCCCCGAAGGGTCCACTGTAATGATCTATCTAAAAATGTGTATTGCACACGGTCTATAGTAGCTCGTGGTGCAATTTGGACACAAATTTAAAATAAGCTTGATAACAATACTTACATTAACATCAAGAACATTACAAACACTGCCCATCTCATCAGCTACAAAAGGGAGGTCTGGAGTATATCTCCACTCCCCATCCACAATGAACTTATAATGGTATATCCCTAATGGAAGCACGAGAAGAATAGAATGATCCTTCCCCGTTCTTTGCATTAACTTCCTGCAACGAGAAACAAACCCAAAAAAAAGACAATGAATGTCATGTGTTGTTCACTTGTTCCTTTTTCGATTCGAGACCCGGGAGAGAGGGAGTTAGGAACAGAAGCAAAGACAGAAACCTCACCTTGACTGCCAATTATCCCACGATCCTTCCACAGCAACCTCATTGCCACCATAGTTCCAGGTGATGATTACCGGGATAGCCTTTTCAGAAGGTTGATCAACAACAACGGGCTGAGGTTCATTCCGCCACAATTGAAGTGGGAAGCCATCAGGCCTCGGTAATGGTGCTGCAGGAACCTACAAGAATTTCACGAAATCCAGACCATGAACATCAGCTAGTGGCCAGTAATAACACAGATGAAAAGGTCCACCACGAAATCCAGACCATGAACATCAGCTAGTGGCCATGTTATTTTCTTTCATTTTTTCCCCATCTTCCTCGATGGTGGGAAGGAATGGTAGATGAGACCTGAATTTGCAATTGCAGTTCCGGAGGGTAGCGTCTTTACCTGAAGACAACACCAAACCAACCTCTGCATCATCTGCCAATTTTGCCCTTTTAGTTTTTTTTCTTCTTCTTGTGATTTCACATGTCCCCCATATGGTTTGTCCAATTATTGTTATGCTGTCTTTAAGAGTTCTAAGACAGTGAATCAAGCCCAATGACTAGTAGCCATCATTTCATTCAATTCGCAGCACACAAACATTACCAAACCATTCGAATATTCATCAAACCAGCACAAAGCATTGACCAAACCAGTCCAATTCACCAAACCAGCACAAAGCATTAATCGGGTCGCTGGCAGGAGAGCAATTACCTGGAATGGGTCGACAGCAGACGGAGGTGCGGCTGGAGCTTCTCTGCTGGAGGAGGAATCAAGAAGGGGAAAGCTCCTTCGGTGCTGCTGGAGCTTCTCGTTTCCGTGATGGCGGCGCGGGGCTGGCGAGGGAGAGGAAGTAGACCTGGGTTTGGCGGCGCGGGGCTGGCGGAGGAAGAAGATGGGGCGGCCGGCGGAGGAAGAAGATGGGAGAGGGAGAGTTCGGCTGGCTGCTGCTAATGGGAGGAGTCTCGATTTCTTCCGTTGCTCTAGGGTTATGGTGGGTGAAAGAGCCCACTAAAACGGCGTAGTATTGATTACTGAGGAAAAAAGGGGAAAATGTGGCCACGGTGATTCGAACTCGGGTTTCGAATTAAAACCTAGCGTGATTTCCGCTGGGAAACGGGGGATAACCCGTCCCAAAGTTTATAGAAAACCAGGTTTTATTGTTTATCCATAGCTTTCCCATTTGTAATAATTGGTTTTTTCCAACGAAAACGAAATGGGAAGTGAACACGTTTAATTGTCATTTGATTCTTGTTTTTTATTTTTTAAACAAAAAACAGAAAACGAAATGGGAAGTGAACAGGGCATATAAGTGTTTCTTGAAGTGGACCTAGTTCACCTCCACGTGTGTAGGTGATTGCTAATTAACAAGGGATTGATGTATATTTGAATAGAGTTTCCCCATCCATCAACATCTGCTTTCTCATCCAAATCAGTCTCCTCCGTGTCATCTTCTTTCCCATCGATAGACTCCAAATTCTCAATCTTATGATCAGCCATGCCTTGCTCAAACGCTCTTTTATATTGGTATATGCAACTTCACATTTATTTGCCATTGTCTCACGTCCAATTCAAATGTCTCACAATCTGCTGCTAGTACCCCCCCCCCCCCCCCCTCGCCAATCAACACACCAACTCACTCTACACACTGTCAAATTTAAAGGTAGGGAAGGTGAATTATTAGTAAGGTTGTGAATTGTGATAAAATAATGGTAAGATAGGAACTATTATCCCCAATCCGTAATTTTAGTAAGATTCAGGTATACTATTGTCATTGTTTCTCCCTACTGCATCCCCAAATTGTATATCACCATCACTATCAAGGTTGTAAACCCGGTTTACCTTGTTGACCCGGTCGAGTAAGTGGGTTGAGGATTAATGATCCAATCGGTTTAGTCCAGTTTAGCTCTATCTCTATATAAGTTCTCTCCACCCATCTGCACATCAAACCATCTTCAACAAACAAGCATTCGCCAATTCTCATCTCTCAAAAGCATTTCATCAAACACCACATTCGCATAACTAACACCCACAAACAATGGTGCAGCAATCACAAGCCCTTTCCACACTACCATTCTCCTCCATCCTATTCCTCTTCCTCCGTAGTTCCACATTCACAAAATACAATCTTCCACCTCTTCCTTAACCTCTAAAAAAATTCCCTTCAAAGGCTATATCTCCTCCCACAGTATAGCCCGTTGCGCCATCGACGACAGAAGGCCCAACCGCCATGATCCTAGTACAATCCTCCAATGGCTTGCTCAACGTCCTCAAAGTGCTGCAAAAGGCCGACCACTTCTGGAGTGCAAGTCAGCAGGATTGCAGCAGACTGGAGCTTTCAGCCGGGAGGAGAAACGACCTGGAGGGTATCCACAACCCGAAATTTGCTGGTTCGAGTCAACCTAATGGGTATGAAGGTTTGACTAGGTCCGGTTGAAGTCTTCGGCAGGAGCTCGCACCCATTTCTGTCGACTATTCAGGGAAAATTCGGTTGGTTCGGCAGGTTAACCCACCGCCCGCGGATTAACAACATTGATAAATATTGTCATGATTTCTTACCACTTCGAAGAGAATGAAGAATTGTTCCTTTTTCATGCCTATCAAATAAAGTGGTTGGTTTCACTTACCCTCTATTCATGAAAGAGGGAAAAAAGAATGGAGAAATTTTGGGGAATTGTAGGGATTCAAAACTTTTCCTTTGTTCATAAGTTTTACTAGAGTACAAGGGAGTTTTTGTGTGTGTGTGTGTGGGGGGGGGGGGGGGGGGGGTGTTTTATTATAGCAATTACTCCACAATTTTGAGTTAAAACATCATTTACTCTTATTGGGTTATTTTTCCCCCTTCAAAATTCAACATAAGTTTTCCTTCGTTATTTTACTATCCTCAAATTTTCATTATATCTAAATTTTCTTTTCCTTTCCAATTTTCTCTCGCTCTTTCATGAAGATAGTGTGAGGTGTGGTACTTTTATTGTTTGGGACTTAAGCTTGGGTTGAAAAGAATGTCAGACTTTCACTATTTTAAGTTCAGGTTGAGTTATTGACTCTCAAAATGGACAGAGTTTGAGCTAGGGATAGTTTGAGTTGTCATTGTTGAGACCATTTATGAGCTATTATCTAGTCGAGCCCATGTCAAGCTCAAGTTGTCAAATTTCTTGACAGGTCGAGCTCGAGCTTAAATTTATAGCCCGTATCGAGCTTGAGTCAAGCTCTAGTTGAGCTATTCTCTATCAAGCTCGAGCTCAAGCTGAACAAAATCTCAACTCAGCTTGACTCTTTCGTAGCCCTTTCCAAGACACATACCTTCCACTTTTTCGATGAGGAGATGACTATCACACTAAGAGATGTTGTCATCCTCACTGAATTCCCAACCACTAGAGAAGCCATCATTGACAACTCATCCATTCCCAAATGAGGTTGGGAGCCACCGATTAGGGAGCATTTTGTCTTTGATATGACACAGAGGTAGTGGGACTAGGTCATCTACCATTACAAGTGGGCCAAGTATCGATCACATGGCCCATTGATTGTATTATGCAAGAGTAGATGGACACCAATACCCTTGATTCTGGAGTGGGCCAATATGCCGCATTTAAATTATTGTCTTGATTGTTGGAGTAATGTTTACGAACAAGACGAATAGGTGGATAAATGGCATGTGGCTTTCATTGTTCCTCGATGATTGGGAGTTGATTGGGACGAAGAGATGGAGATTAGCTTGTTTAGAGATGGTGTATCAAGAGTTATGTGCATGTTTGAAGTTGACTACAAAACAAGCCGGTGGTGCTATGTCCATCCTCAAACTTTGGGCATGAGATCATCCTCTAAGGTTCGCCCCACGTTCCTCACAAGAAGATTGGGGAATGACGAACCACCACGGGATGCGTCTTATGCTAAGCAAGTTTATTTACTTTTAACTTTGTAAGTATGTATTTTATTGCTATTACGTTTTAAGGTCCTTACATGCATACATTTATTTATAAGCTGGATTGGAGCAAACACAACTGACTATTGATCCGAGCACTTTTGTTGTATTATCGTAGGTATTTAACAAGTCTTGGTGGAATTCGGTAACCATCATAAGTCTATATATACTTGGTCATTTGTGATGACTGGAGTGAATATCGAGAGTACTAACTATAAATGTTTGTTGATTGTAGGTGGTGTTGATCGCTTCTATGTATAGTGAAGAACATCATATTATGTTGTCCTAGTACGGTGAAATTTTTATGGTTGTACCCTACAACGGTGCTTGGTGGATCGCTTCTCTTCGCAGCGATTGATAAGCCGTTAATTGCACATGTTTTTACCCCTATTCTGGAGCCGTTTGAGATGGTAATTCTCGTGTTTTAGGCCGATTTCACGCTAGGTTGTGTTTGTTTATGATATTTCAGGTCCTAGCAAGTGAATGAAGGGTTAGGAGCGAGTTCAGGGTCGATTGGACGAAGATCGGGCGCGAGGCAAGTCAAAAAGGAAGCCACACGGGCACACCCACAACTCACACGGCCGTGCAAGTGACCACTTTGGCCGTGTGGGATTGTGCGAGCCTTCACACGGCCAGCCCTGATATTCACACGGCCGTGTGAAGTTGCACTTTGGCCGTGTGGATTTTTGCGAGGCTTCACACGGCCAGGCTGGGTGAGCTGCACGGCCGTGTGACCCTGGCCGTGTAGGAAGCCTGAAGTGCAATTAATCGGAACGCGGCGTTTTGACCTCACACGGGCAACTGGGTATGCCACACGGCCGTGTGGGCCTGCCCGTGTGAGTCGGGAATTTCTGGTTTTTACCCAATTTCGGGCTGCAAAAGAGGGAATCGAGTTTTGAGAGCAAAAACAGAGCCCTAGAGAGAGAAAGTACGAAGAACACATCCTAGAAGCTATCTTGGAGCTGGGTTTCATCAATCAAGCTTGGAGATCGTCATAGGAGTGGAAATCATCATCCCATAGCAGATTTTCCTCATCTTTATGAGTATCACTACTCTGTATTCTGTTTTCCTCTCTCTCTCTCTATGGAGTAGAACCCTTCTCTCACTTGGGTATGAAGAACCCTAGTTCTATGTGTTAGGAATTTGATTGTAATGACTTGGGATGATATTACTGCTTGGTTTTAATCGAATGATGCATGTTTATTAAGTCAATTGAAGTCTGATCAGCTTTTCCTGATTTCTGCTACAACCTGAGATAGATAGAATCTGATTAGGTTGTTAGAGCCTCATCATTCGGTAGTAGGAGATTGACTATACGAGAGTTAGCCAGTTTACTGCTTTGTATTTGAATTCAATTCCAGTAGTGGAGTTTTGTTCTTACTGCTTCAGCTTTCTATCCCGGTGAAGACTAGTCGTCTGCCGGGTAGTTAGTCTGAGAGGGCTTGGTCAGCTTAAGAGATTCCACAATTTTGAGTTAAAACATCATTTACTCTTATTGGGTTATTTTTCCCCCTTCAAAATTCAACATAAGTTTTCCTTCGTTATTTTACTATCCTCAAATTTTCATTATATCTAAATTTTCTTTTCCTTTCCAATTTTCTCTCGCTCTTTCATGAAGATAATCTGAGGTGTGGTACTTTTATTGTTTGGGACTTAAGCTTGGGTTGAAAAGAATGTCAGACTTTCACTATTTTAAGTTCAGGTTGAGTTATTGACTCTCAAAATGGACAGAGTTTGAGCTAGGGATAGTTGAGTTGTCATTGTTGAGACCATTTATGAGCTATTATCTAGTCGAGCCCATGTCAAGCTCAAGTTGTCAAATTTCTTGACAGGTCGAGCTCGAGCTTAAATTTATAGCCCGTATCGAGCTTGAGTCAAGCTCTAGTTGAGCTATTCTCTATCAAGCTCGAGCTCAAGCTGAACAAAATCTCAACTCAGCTTGACTCTTTTGTAGCCCTTTCCAAGACACATACCTTCCACTTTTTCGATGAGGAGATGACTATCACACTAAGAGATGTTGTCATCCTCACTGAATTCCCAACCACTAGAGAAGCCATCATTGACAACTCATCCAATCCCAAATGAGGTTGGGAGCCACCGATTAGGGAGCATTTTGTCTTTGATATGACACAGAGGTAGTGGGACTAGGTCATCTACCATTACAAGTGGGCCAAGTATCGATCACATGGCCCATTGATTGTATTATGCAAGAGTAGATGGACACCAATACCCTTGATTCTGCAGTGGGCCAATATGCCGCATTTAAATTATTGTCTTGATTGTTGGAGTAATGTTTACGAACAAGACGAATAGGTGGATAAATGGCATGTGGCTTTCATTGTTCCTCGATGATTGGGAGTTGATTGGGACGAAGAGATGGAGATTAGCTTGTTTAGAGATGGTGTATCAAGAGTTATGTGCATGTTTGAAGTTGACTACAAAACAAGCCGGTGGTGCTATGTCCATCCTCAAACTTTGGGCATGAGATCATCCTCTAAGGTTCGCCCCACGTTGCTCACAAGAAGATTGGGGAATGATGAACCACCACGGGATGCGTCTTATGCTAAGCAAGTTTATTTACTTTTAACTTTGTAAGTATGTATTTTATTGCTATTACGTTTTAAGGTCCTTACATGCATACATTTATTTATAAGCTGGATTGGAGCAAACACAACTGACTATTGATCCGAGCACTTTTGTTGTATTATCGTAGGTATTTAACAAGTCTTGGTGGAATTCGGTAACCATCATAAGTCTATATATACTTGGTCATTTTGTGATGACTGGAGTGAATATCGAGAGTACTAACTATAAATGTTTGTTGATTGTAGGTGGTGTTGATCGCTTCTATGTATAGTGATGAACATCATATTATGTTGTCCTAGTACGGTGAAATTTTTATGGTTGTACCCTACAACGGTGCTTGGTGGATCGCTTCTCTTCGCAGCGATTGATAAGCCGTTAATTGCACATGTTTTTACCCCTATTCTGGAGCCGTTTGAGATGGTAATTCTCGTGTTTTAGGCCGATTTCACGCTAGGTTGTGTTTGTTTATGATATTTCAGGTCCGAGCACGTGAATGAAGGGTTAGGAGCGAGTTCGGGGTCGATTGGACGAAGATCGGGCGCGAGGCAAGTCAAAAAGGAAGCCACACGGGCACACCCACAACTCACACGGCCGTGCAAGTGACCACTTTGGCCGTGTGGGATTGTGCGAGCCTTCACACGGCCAGCCCTGATATTCACACGGCCGTGTGAAGTTGCACTTTGGCCGTGTGGATTTTTGCGAGGCTTCACACGGCCAGGCTGGGTGAGCTGCACGGCCGTGTGACCCTGGCCGTGTAGGAAGCGTGAAGTGCAATTAATCGGAACGCGGCGTTTTGACCTCACACGGGAAACTGGGTATGCCACACGGCCGTGTGGGCCTGCCCGTGTGAGTCGGGAATTTCTGGTTTTTACCCAATTTCGGGCTGCAAAAGAGGGAATCGAGTTTTGAGAGCAAAAACAGAGCCC